AAAGATACTGCAAGTGCTCTCCCATTGCTAAATTTGCTTGATATCTTAACAGTTCAAAATGTATATCGCCTACATGCCTTGAAATTTATTCATGCGTGGCATAAAGGTTTGTTGCCACACATTTTTGATAATTTCTTCCAATATTCAAGAGATGTTCATAGTTATAATACCAGATAGTCATCTAATTTAAATATGTATAAACCATATGTTCGAACTAATACTGGTAAACAGGCAATTTCTTTTGGAGCAATTGATTGATGGAAGGATCTTCCAGATATAACTAAAAATCTACCTTTGTTTTCCTTCTTTAAGCAAGTTAAAACCTACTTATTGGCTAAACAACATACCTATTGAAATTTTCATCATCTATATGATATAAATTATACTTATTATATATTCTTCAGCTTTTCTATTAACAAAATCTAATGGAAAATTAATATTTTCTTCAGTTGTCTGACATTACCTATATTAATCTAATAAGAATAAGAATAAAATTCAATGGAAGCTAACTAGAAAACCTAACGGTTCATTTAGCTTTCAAGCTCTAAAAATGTTATTTAAAATATAAATTCTATCTATGTACCAATTATTTAAGAATTGTGTATTATTTATGTATTTCTATCTAAGAGTGAAATAAAGTTGTATTGTATTGTATTGTATTATATTAAGTAATATAATGTCAATGATGAAACAACATTAATAAATTAAAATGTACAATGATCATGCAAGCAACAAAAAAACATAATTATGCAACCAAAAAATAAAATTATCCACGGCCTTCCAAATTACAATATCTTGCGATCCAATTCCTGCCCGTTTTTTTGAAAAAGTGAATGCAAAAGGATGAAAACACATATTTTTCGTTTTCACTGCGAATAATCAAAATGAACATAACACGGAGATAATATATAACTATAGCACTTACATGACACCACTTGAATAATATATGGATGCATATAGATATTGTTTGATTTATTTATTTATTAAACACGCCACGTTTATTACATCACAGATACGGTTCAATGTCAAACTCGTGAATAATTCACGAGTAAATTAGCCGACCGTATCGCTTTATTTTGTTCACATGATAATACTGGATACCTGATGAAGTATATTGTTGCAGTTCTAGAATTAATTCGCCTCATATATACTGATTTATTCGTATGAGATGTAATATTTCAAATCTGACTATGAGGACTGGACTAGATTTCAAGTCCGTACAATGGACAACTTGCATGTTAGGCTAAATTCTAATCTAAGTAAAGAGAAGGGAATCAAACACCACAGCTAAAAAGAACATCATGAAATTAGTGGAACTGCAAAATTTGGTTGCGAAATGTTGTAAAGCTTGAAAATATAGCCTTGCAAAGTTTGAAAATGTTGTATATGTTTGTATACTACGTGCGGAAATTGGTATCATTTTCGGCTCAAAAATGCAAGACTATATTTTTCGTATTTTACAACATTTCGTAACCAAATTTTGCAAGTCGGATTTGAAATATTACTTCAAAAATACATACAGTTCAATATGAGTCGAGCAAGCAACGTTTTTTTTCAACACGGACATCACCCAAAAATTGGTATAACTAAATTTGGAGGCATTTTGCATCAAAGCGCTCGTGTAATTAGGAAGCAAAATACTTTAGATTTTGTCATATGCGTTCAACATTTTATGCACAAACTGATACGAATAGTTTTTAATCCTGTCCCCCATAGGCAATCTGACGTTCGTGTTGACAAAAATATCGCTTGCTCCGGCCTATTTCAGCTCGAACGGGCAAACCATGCAACCGAGACCGTCTTGCATATTTTTGATATTTTCAAATTAAGCCACCACCAAATCACCAGCGGGTTATTTTGACTTACATCGCCTCTGATTCAATACATGACCAGAAGACGCAAGTCAAAATAACCCGCTGGTGATTGGTTCGGCCTTAATTTGAAAACATCAAAAATATGCAAAAGCAGCCTCGTTGTGCCCGTTGGAGCTGTAACACGTACAATTTGCATTTAACTAACTTCAATGGTCTTGATACTGATACGATCATTATTACTTATTTTTTTGAGACCCAGTGACAACAGTGGCCTCAGGGCCACAAAACATGCTGTTTCCCTCGGTCTCAGTAAATAAGTGATAATTATTATATACCAAGTGTCATAGTTCGTGTTTTCTTGCATCTCATTGGACGAAAACGTATTTCGTGAAAGTCATGAAATTCAACTGTCTCCTGGCAACAGCTCACAGCGATGGACATTGGTAGTTCCTGTCTCTTTTTGTTTCATTTGACACTTGTGATATATAATAAAATACTTACTGACTGCGACTTTTGGGAAGGATTAAGATAAAACGTGGATAAGGACGAACGGATGGCGACGGACGGACGGACTGATGATTTATCTTGTCGTTAAATGTCATTTAACAGTCATATCCGCGTACGCGCAGATATGGTTCAAAAACTTTTTTCATATGACTTATAAAGGGATGACAAAGTTTTTTGAACAATATCTGCGTTTTGGATAAAACGCGGATATGACTGTTAAATGACATCATCTGTCAGTCCGTCCGTCGCCACTCGTCCGTCCGTATCCGCGTTTTATCCTAACACCTTATTTGGGAGGCAGCATGTTTTGTGGGCGCTCGAGTTCCCCTCGGGAAACACTAGCAGTCCCGTGTCCAAAAAACATACTGTTTCCCAAAAGTCCCAGTCAATAGATATTAAATCTATTACCCAAATAGGCCGTTTGCCGTGACCTAAAAATATGCCTAGAAAACGATTTTCATTAAGCATGTCGTGGAACTGAAATATTTTCACGGTAACTAACATTTTAGAACACGCTGAATTCAAATCCGAAAAGTTGCCGCTCCGTAGACCCGCAGT